TTTTAGAAAGTGAACCATGGATGGGGAAATGTTGGCAGTTTTCTCAAAAAATGCTTGAATTCAAGAAGTTTTAGATTTGCGTGGTTTTTTTTTGATTTGCAAAATCCACTTGAACATGACGCTGCTTTTTTCGAAGTAGCTCAAGAACCATTCGAGCCACATAATTCGTTTTGACATCGTTGGATAGAGAATTGAAAAGTCGATTCAGTCGTGACCCACCTGCTTCCCCCCCTTGGATCCGCCCTTGCACTCAACTGAATAAAGTGAAAAATCCTCTTTTGAAACAAATGGGCAATTGACTCCATCAATGGTTCCTTTAAGGATAAATGCCGGGTGATACAGGAGGAAAGGACAAAGAAAAAATTGCTTGAAGAAAATGCGTGCTATTCTAGTCTTAGCAGCGTAATAACGGCCGTGTTAAAACCATGTATATTTTTTTAAGCTCTGTATATCTGTAGACGGTGGCAGGCAATTTGCAAATAAATACGTCATGCCAATTGCAACCTTGAAAATGTATGTAAATTTAGCCATCTGTGACGAATGGCGATTTGAGATAAACATAAACAATCATGAAAATCGGCAGCAACTGTTTTTATTGCTTTATCTGGCTTCCCTGATACGAAAACTGCAATTACTCGCCTGCAACTGCACGTGAACAAATATTATCATGAGAAATTGATATTGCAAAGTCTCTAAAGCATGACATTAGACCATAATGGGAAAAATGTCATTGTGGCTAGTAAGCAGTTGAATTTACACCATAATAACGATTATGACCTAGTGAAGACCTAGAAACCGGCAACAAGCTGAGTAAGCCCATCGGCGGGCAGCCGTTTCAGCTAATAATAATAATTTTCCAAGTAAATAATCATAAACAACGTAACGTACACATTAACCAGCTGGGTATTGGTATATTCATCGTGCTCAATGCAACCAACCTCATGGTGGCTTTATGCGCTCCCGTGGCGCCTTATTAGAGTCCGTGGGCTACTTTCTACCATTGTGCAATGCACGTAAACAAATGAGTTAGTAATCATGACAAACAGATGTAAATCACACCTTTTAACTAATTATTTAATCACTTAACGGAAAAAAATGCACATTGAAGTGTGTGTTACTCTTCTCCCTATCTTTGAGATTGAAAGTTTAAAACTCTCCTGCTAAAAAAACTTTTTAAAGTATGAAATTTGCTTCGAAAATGAACTTAATCCGGTTCTTCCTCAAAATCTATCTCGAAACCAAACAAACTATCGAATAAATGAACTGTAGCCATTATCAAGCCTGGTGGATGGAGAACAGTGCTCGCCACTTACGGTAATTGAGTCCACTTTGCTATTGAATCTCCGATATTCCTGCAAAATGCCGTTGTCCTGCTAACAACCGCTCACAGCCAGCAATTCCGGGATCAGGAGGACTCCGTGTCGTAAGGACTAAATTTGAAATTATGAGTCTGCGACACGACAAAACGGCTTATTTGTGTAGCTAATATAAACAAATCGAGGTCCATTCCGGACGATTTATTTATGTGTCTGGATTGTTATTATTTATTCGATTTGTTTAACCGCGGTTGAAACGTAAATAGGCTTTGCAACTGCGTTTAGAAATGTTCAACATATTTGGAAGAGACTTGGTTTTAAGGACGCGAACGTTACATGAAATACGCCTCAATTCCTGCTCACTAAATTTCGTTCTTTAAAAAAATCGTATCTGAAACCACTGTAAATTCGGTAGGAAGTTGATCTTTCTAATATCTTTGCAAGAGATTTGACTTGCAATACGCTAAAAACTTTAAAAAATCCACCGAAATCCTGATTCTTTTCAGCTTAGAAAATATCAGTCGCAAACTTTACGGTTATGCCTAAATGCGCTCCGCATTTAAAAATTCGCATCACCAAAACTAAAGCAAATCTCAATTAAAATTTTCACAATCCTGCACGATACTTGGTTCTAAAGACGCAGAAAATTTCATAAAATTATACGAGAATTTGTATTTTCTACAGCCTAGTAAATATGGGTCTCAAAATAGTTGTTTTTGCCAATCTGCGCTTTCTGTTTGAAAATTCGCATCTTCGAAACTAAGAAAAGTATCAATTTGAAATTTCTACTGCATTTAGGAGACACTTGACTGCAAATTCTGAAATATTCATAAAAGTCGATTAAGATCCTGATTTCTGCCAGCTTAGAAAATATCGGTTTCACACTTTATTATTATTTTTCTCAAATGCGCTCCCTCCTTCAAAAATTCGCATCTTTCAAAATAAAGCAAGTAGCAAGACGAAATTTTTACCATGTTTAGAAAATACTCGGCTCTAAAGAAGGACAAAGTTTCCTAAAATTTTTCAACAATTCCGATTTTTTGGCAGCTTAGTAAATATCGGTCTCGAAATGAATGTTTTGCCCATCTGCGTTTTCTCCTTTAAAAATTCGGATCATCCAAATTAAAGCATGTAGCAATGCAAAATTGTCACTGTGTTTAGACGATATTTGGCTCTAAACATGCCGAAAGTTTCATAAGAATTTGCCAGAATTCTGATTTTTGGTAGCTTAGAAAAATCTTAAAATTGATGTTTCTACCCAACTGCGCTCTCTCCTTAGCAGTTTGAAAATTTCACTATCTCTAGAAGACACTTTACTGTAAATATTCCAAAAGATTTCCCAAAATCATAAAAAAAAAATATCATTTGTCAAAATAAAAATTCTATATTTTTTTCAGTTGGATAACATCAATTTATGCCTCACCACTTTGCACTCGTTGCACATCCAAGGGATAGAGGGAATTTCCGCACAGGAATTGAGGGATGGCAAGTTGAAGGCTATTTTGGCGCTCTTTTTCGCCCTCTCCCGACACAAACAGGCAACGAAAGCACGGCAGCAGCAGGAAATGACTCCCAACCGGTAGGCAACACTTTTATTCTCCCGCAGGAATTTCAAGCAGAGTCAATGCGTTAGTGCGTGCTTTGGTGAATGCACGACTAATAAGCGCATGGGAAGCAGAAAAAACCTGCAAACTTGAACGGCAGGAGCAGTTGACTAGAACAAAGTTGAGAAACAAATCTTATTAAAAAATATATTGGAAAACACCCGAAATTAACATTCTATTTACTGTAATGCCAAAGCAAAAAGTACCAACTTTTCGAACTTGGCCAAATTTCAAATGCTTTCCACTCATCTTGTTAAATTTTCTGCCGATTTAAAAGATTATTTCAGTATTTCGTCTAATGATTTTCCATTTTCAGATTTGCTCACAGAAAGCTTTATTTTATTTGGCGAATGCGCTTCATCGACATCAGATTATGTAATCCATCTAAGTGAACCGATTAAGTGACTTTTTTGTACTTATTTTTGTTACTTCTCTACTTCGAAGTTATTTCGTTCACTGACTACCTTTCTATGATCATTAAACCAAATATTCCCTTCTTTCTTAATATGTATTATTAGCATACTTTATATGTATTTCTCTCATTTAAAAAATTGTACATTTTCTTCTCATTTGATGTCCAAACAATGATTTTAAAAAGCAACCACTCTACTGGCTCTCTCCAATTTCCGGACATTATTATGCAAAACAGATCGCACCACATATTTTACATAATACAATGCCTAGACTGAAAAGAGGAATATAAAATATGGGATTCGACAATAAGAAAAAACAACGCGGCTTTATCATTCAAAAGTCTGGTTTGTTGTATTCCGGTTGTAAAGCGAGCACATTCTCTGCCAGTGAAATAATGCATAATGCAGGAAATAAATGTGAATTTGAAACGTGATATCGTTTTCGCATTTTTAGACCCAAACAACGGCAATATTTCCCCGATAAAATGCACTTTTGAGCAAAAAGTTTCAGAAATAGAAGCTTTTGCGGCTGTAGTTTGAGCAAGGGGAATTTTTAATTTGTTTAATTGTTTAATTTAACATCCTCAGAGAAGTGAGGTGCTCATACTCTGATTCGAGTGGATCAAATAAAACAGAGTTAAACATTTAGGAAGGTAGTTCGCATCGGCTGTCTCACTCACACCCATGGCAGTCATAAAAGACGCAAGATCTACTGCGAACTGCTACGTTCCAACTTGATGCCTTCACGCTTCAACATCACCCAGTTTTGAACACGGCAAATTTAAGCGAATATTATGAATTACTTTGTTTAGTCTTAGAGTGAACCCAACTGTCTGAATAAATATCTACTTAGGGAAACTACTCAATTTTATACGGCTTTCCAGCTAGAAATGATAATTTTCAGGTTTTAGGCCTTCACTAGCATTTTAGAGGTGTGTATAAAAGTCCCGATTGTGCGTGCACGAGAATTAATAACTCGAAAATCACGGATTTTTAAAATTCTAAACACTTTTTAATAATTCAAACACTCCTTGCAAGATGTTATGTGCTAACTTAAGCAGCTAAAAGGGTCGAGAACAACAATTCCCCCCAGACTGGTGGAAAGTAATGAGATCCTGCTTCTCGTCCCCCTGGAGGGAATCATTAAGTTTTATTTATTTGTCTCTTGGGAGGCTAAATTATGATTAGCGTCGCTGTTCCACCGTTTTAATACGAATTCCCGAGCAAATTCATATCGACTAGTGAACGCAAGATTTCCAGGTCTCAAGAATTATTGGAAACTTTGCAACAAATCACAACCGGGCGAATTTTTCTCGTGTCGAAATAAAGCCTGATAAAGTTAAAGATAAAACGTTAAGCCCAAAAGATTTATCAGGATGTCGACTAACGCTTTAATTAAGGTAAAAAATGAGGCTAATCTCCCCTTAAAACGGTCCATCCTTACCAGTAGCGAGGCAAAAAAGCGAAAACGGGGAAGCTTTAAAAACACCCGGAAATAAAACAGGTCCCTGTTGGAACATCTGCCGAAAAATTTATGACTTTTTTACGAGAATTCGGGAATACATTTTGCCGGCACATTCTGTGGCATCGAAGGGTGAAATTGAGCGAAAACAGGTTTTTTTCTCACTTAACTCAAACTCACTGTTTTGCATTGACTTTCTTTCGATCACCGGGGTGAAAGAGTTTTAAAGGTGCAGATTAACTAAACGGGTGTTTTGCCAAGTTTATATCTCTTTGCCTCTCGGAGAATGGGAACTGGATTACCATAATGTATTGCCACCAAAAGTTTATCTTTATTGGAAAGCAGCGTCGGAGTTTGAGTGTTTAAACCTGATTTTTAACCCCATTTTGTGTGGTTTTTTTTGCTCAAGTACTTTCAACGTGTCCACCTAGGGAGAGGATCTTGGATTGAAAGAGAGAAGGTTTTTAAAAGCGAAGCTAAATAAAAAGTCACAAAGATGCAGAAATTGAAAGTGAAACAAATATGTTTTGAGCATATTTTTTTGAAGGAATTTATCAATATAGTAAGGAGTGAAGGACGGTTGAAATTCTATGCTTTCCAGGTTACGCTGCTGATTTTTATCTCCATTTGGTATTTTATTGGTAAAGTTGAACCAATTTTTCCGCAAGAGCCAAGTCGAGAAGATTTCGTGTCTGTGCTTGGCATCTGTTTGCAGATATCGCCGTCCCTTGACACTTTTCCCCTTTTTCTAATAAAAGTGTTTCTGCGATATCGCGCGTGAGGTGTTTACTATATCCATTTAATATCAAATGTTATCCAGGGGCAAAATCGTGACATTATCCGCGTAAATGGTCTTTTCTGAAAGAAAAAAAACATGAATTGTTTGCGTCTTTTATATTAAATACAATGTTTTCTCCAGGGGTCCGTAGATGGAAGCGAATGAGCGAAATGAAGGAGAAGAAGTTGGGAGTTAATTAATTAATCATAAACCGATTATATTCTGATCACTAATTAATTATTCGGTTAATTTGCATTGCAATTGAGGGCTGAATTCAAGTGGAGCTTTAAATTCCGTCCAATTCGAAAAGAAATTGGAATTTTGAAGTGAACACGGGAGCAAAGTAGACCGTTACCGGAAGGGGAGATGCCAATTTGGGATTTTGCACTGTTGTCAATTTGAAAAATTACCTCAAACTACATTTATTACTTACTGAAAAACACTTACATCTACAAATTTTCTAGAGCCTTGGGTCGTGGATAAGAATTTGTTCTCGACGTTTTGCAAACACGAGCGACTTGCATCTTCAGGGGATGTCTGGTCAACACAGCACCACTTTGAAGATGGGAGAAGAAGAGAGTTTGAGAGAAGAAGTTTGAGATGAAGATCGAGTTTGCAAAACGTCTGGAATAAATTATTTTCATTGGCGGCCTAAAAGCACGAAAAAGCTCACTAATTTTGTATGCAATTGTTGTGCCGAACCCTTCTAGCACGACACTGGTTGAGATCCCAAAAAAACGGTACAATTTTGTCTTTGTTTTTTTCAATTAGTGTCGTGCCCGAAGGGCTCGGCAAAACAAATCACTTAGAATCGGTTGAGTTTTTCTGGCTTTTAAAAAGCTAAAAAGAGTTTTTCTTTGTTTTTACGACGGCGTAAATCCCGGGAAACTCACCAGTATCAAGCTTTCAATGAATATTTATTGATCGCCGAATAAGAAAATCTACAAGCTTGTAAAAATTTACTTACTTACTTCTCGGGCACAGATTGTTTAAATGAAGGTGAAATGAAAAGTGAAGAAAAGATAAATTTTTAGGAGTAAAAAATTGCCCAAGAGATCGAAAGTGAAAGATAGAAAAATTTATAGGCGAAGTAAATGTTTTTCGAATTAATTAGGGAGTTTTTCTGTACAAAAAATCCCTAGTATCCTGGAACAAAGATCATGGCAACATCGCGAGCGATAAATCCCTTTCCCACAAAATGTTTAGGGTGGCACACGCCGAATTTGAGTGCATTTGAGATTCGGGCACTCCGAAAATCGTTTCCATTGGATGCACGTGCCGATCGGTGTCGGGAACGCGAACACGATCGTATCAGAAATGCGCGGCTCGGTGAAGAGAAAAATCCAAAAAATTTGCAGTAAAAAATCGTTTTTCGGTTAAAAGTGCCCGGAGGTTCCCTTTGCCATCATTTGCTGCCATTGAAAATCAACAGTTTGGAAATGGTTCTGACTTGCTGAAGAGATTTGGTATCAGGAAGCGCAATTTTAAGCAAAAAATGTCGAAAGGCGCAAAAGCTTAATTGAGTATTTTCGCGTAAGTAATTTGGAATCAGGTGCTTAAAACGTGAACGATTTCAGCAAATTAAGGCGGCAAAATGAAAAATTGCATTTTTTATTTGTAAAAAAACGTCTAGAAAAGTGTCTAGAAAAACCATTCCTGTTCCTTCAGTAGTAACAATAAAAACAGATTTTACGTCTTAAACACAAATTGATAGTTTTTTTCTAAAAAATCTTCATCAACTAAATGTCTGAAAGGGTTTTTAAAGTGGTAAAGAAGCGAGTACTTCGATTGAAAATTTAAAAAAACCTCAAGCTCAAGTACATAATCGAGGCATAATCTTGTTTAAGACAAAGCTGGAAAAATATCAATAACGCATAAACAGCTAAATAAAATTCGGGCTAAAATCCACGTGATGAGTAATCTGTTGAGCAAAATTGGTCAATTGAAAGTTGGGGTGTTACTTTAAGGGGGTGGAAGCAAATGATGTCGCAAAAAGAGGGTTGCTCATAATGAGGGAGCTTTCAGGTTAGTGTCCTGCATAGGTTTAAGATGGAAGATCGATATTTTTCACATCAGCATAGCCCAAAGTCCACCGATCGTCGTTGACTGGAAAATGAGCGAAAAGTTGTCGGAAAAGTGAAAAAAGTGCAAAATGGGAAACAGCCACTCGGGAGGCCGGAAATCCAGAAGTTTGCCAACATCCCCGGAAGTGCGGCGAGCCAAACTGTTAGTATATAAAAATAAAATTTAAACTGCAAATCCTAGGCAGGAATCAGCATTTAGTATACGCATCACTATAGGCATAGACAAATTCATTAAAAATACATTCAAAATGTATGCTGTCAATGCAGAATGAATTGACCAAATGCAGCCTCCAGTTAACTAAAATGGTTTAATCAGATGGCCAATGATTTATGAATTTATACCCCAATTTCAATGCACCATATTTGATTTATTGCCTGTTAAATGCATTTGGCGCGTCTCGCGTTTCGGGAAACAGAGATGCCGTTAAATTGCTCTGCTGGATCTAGATGCATTCTGTTTAGTGCGAGTTTCGTTAATTAAAGCTGGGACTAAGGGAATTGATCGTTCATGTCGGCGTTTTTCCTGCTAGAGTGCCAAAGCATGTACCGTCAGGCCACTACAGAGGAGAAAAATTGATTGAATAAATAATTGAAAATTTTCTCCTAAACTGAAAACGTTTAAATAATCCTCTGTCTTCGGGTAACTGAATTTTCAACCTTGTTTCCAGTCGTAGAAAAGCGATACTTCGAACAGCACCTACATTAATCAAAGTGCATCTTAAAATATCTGATAGGCTATTTCCAGATATTTATTTGATGCATTCGAATTTTTATACTCACTTAAGGGGCTTTGGTAAACGGTCGATGCATAGTGGCAGCTGTAACATACTGCATGGTCCCATAAGGCAGGTGTTTAATTAGAAGCAGGAATATACTCAAAGAGCGGCTCTATTTCCCATTGGAGCTGCACATTATGTGGCAAAGAATTGACTTATTTTTAGTTCCCAGTCGATTCTTCAACGCCACTGCCTAAATCGTTGTATTTATAACACCGGCATTACGGCCTTAGTATAAGCTCAGATAGACAAACAAACCGCATACTCAGATTTGTTTGTATAACCCCGGATTTAGACCAAAAATCGCCTCATTTCGGTTTCGATATTTTTACTTCAACCTTTCACGTTGCATTTACGCGTTCAACTTGGAAGAATAAAATCTGTTTACATCAGCTGTTTCCACCGGCAGTAATGCAGGTTTTCTGTTCGCAGATCTTCGGCCATACCGCACAAAGGAGGCGCAACCAGCTCTATACCGTTGCCAGGAAGTGCTCTACCGGCTCGAAGATGTCCTCCAGACAAAGTACGTCCGGTTGCTGGCTCTTCCAGAGCCACAAGTCCAGCTCTAAGTATGATTCCTCGTGCTCCTCCTACTTCCCAAATCGCCAGTCCGTATCAATCCGGTCAAAAGGGCGCTGTGGCTCAAAATGGTTCTATGTTGGATAAACTGAAGCTATTTAAGGTGAGAATTGATATTTCTGGACTGGAATATCAATCAATGTTTAATGATGCAAAGTTAAAAAGTTTCTTCATTTTGGTAAATTCGGTCTTTAATGCTTCATTATCTTCTGTGTTCTTTTCCCGCTCAAGCATCAGTATGATTTTTTAATATGAGTGTGACGAAAATAATGTTTAATCACATTTTACTGAAATCCAACGTTACTTATTACTTTCCTCGTCAATAGAAAATGCATCCTAACGTTTCGCCATCACGCCTGGCTAGCATCTTCAGAGATGCGTTCGCTTTGGGGGCTCAAACTGTGACTCGAATGATTCCTGGAATAAAACCGATTGTTGCACTCAGGAACGTACTTGGCCTCGGTAGTCTCACTTGCACCCATTAGAGTCTATGGGGGTTGCACCACGACGCCGCGATGCTACGTTCCAAATTGGCACTTTTACGCCTCAAAATGTATTAGTTTTGACTAAACTTGGAAAAATGTTTTGGAAAAAAAATTTAAAATCGCTGTATACAGTACTAGAAGCAAGTCAAACTAAAACTTGTCAACTTTATTCGGCTTTTCAACTGAAATTTCCTAAAAATGTTGGAATAATTGCTGACTTGTGGGGACGATTTGGAATCTTCAGAAGTGGGCTCGTATCTTCTCATCTTCGATTTATTAAAGCAAAAGTTGTTAAGCTAACGACTTTTTTGCTTGTTTTTCAAAATATAAGAAAAATTAACTCCAAATCCCGCTGCTCCATTTCATACTGACAAAAAGATGAAAAAAGCTTTGAACATTTTCCAGCTCTTTTCCCAACGCAGTTTTACTCTTTTTCGCACTAAATTTCCGACTAATCATCACATTTCAAAGAAACTCTTACTCCTTGACTCGAGACAACAACAAGTAACATAAAATAACTGTTTCAACCGACTTTCCCTGTTCCAGAACAGTGAAAAGCCTTCCACTGGCACAAACGGCAAAAGAACCAGTTCCTCCAGTGGAGTTTCATCTGCAAAGAGTGAGCGCAGCGACAGCAGCGCTTCCTTGGATGCAAACGCCGAATCCAAACCCGTAAAGAACATTTCCAGGATCAAGCAAACCACCAAACTCACCACTAATCCCAAGTGAGTTTCCTCTAGCAAACACTCTTCGATTTTTCAACCTCATTTCCCGCTAGTGCCAAAAGCGCCTTTCAGAAAAACAGCCCCAACCCAGCGAAGAAAGATGGGCTCAAAACCCAATCCTCATACCAAAACGGGGGGACAAAAATAGCAACGGAAGTGGAAAAGCATGCGAATAAAGTGGCGGGTTTGCCTGGCAGTAAACTCACTGAGCCCAAAGTGAGGGTATCAGCCCTCAAGGAAACCAAAGCCATTGCCCATCAATCAGCTGGAAATGGAACTGGAATACCCAAGCCTACTTTAGCAGTCAAAGGTAATTTCCTGCCTTTTTCTGTAGGGCAATTGCCAATTTTTTTCTATTCAAGGAACCACCAAGCCTGTCTGTCCATCATCAAGCATGTCCTCCCAAAAAGGCCCCCTATCTCGGGAACCTTCGCAACATTCCATCTGCAGTCCCAAGCCTGCAGTTGCAATGGTTTCCCCAATGAAAGCCGAGGTTCCAAAGGAACCTCCACCCAGCGCCTCCAGAGAAAACAGCCCACTGTCCAACCAAGTCCTCAAGGATAGCCAGAACCACGTCAGCAAAGACACTCAACTCTCTGAGAGCAGCAATAGTGCCTCCACAGGCCCTCAGAGCAACTCGAGCGATGGTTCTGTTATCTACAAGCCCTCAAGTGAGAGCAGCTGCTCAGAACATGTCAGCAATCCCATTCCCAACAGGTACAAACTCCAGCTGAGTAAGCCACCAAGAGGTTTTCTAATGGGGAAATTATTCCAGAAAGGAGCCGTTGCAGTATCTATCAGATGCAGCCTCAGAACGCAATCACAGTGTCCCGCATCCTCCACTGGAGCCGCTCAGAGAAGCTCAGGAAACGGAAAGTCCCATCAAAACCAAACCATCGCCCACAAAAGAAAGAACAGTGGACAGCCCAAGACTGACAACGATTCCAAACCATATCAGACAAACCATATCCAAAGTAGAGCCCAGCCAGGAGTCGCTGGATAGAATAGAGAATATCACGATGAAACATATAAGAGAACAGAGCAGTCTGAGCCAGCCTGATAGTTTTAAAGCCAATCACAATGGCCAATCAGTGGATGAGGATGACTTCAATCTGAACCACCATCGCCTAATGGCCTTTAATATGGATGTACCTGATAATATTAAGGAGGGAGCTGGGGATAATTTGAGTATTGAGCCGATGAGGCCTCTATTAAGGGGCTATTGCAGCACGTTTACTTTAGCGGGACGACAGAGGAGTCCGTATGGTCGGGGTTCCGGAGAAGGCGATTATTGTGATATCTCCTTAGCAAACGGGTACGTTTAGGTAGAGATTTTGAGTTGGGGACTAAAAGTGGGTTTGGTTCCAGATATTTATCTGAGGGCGAGTTGTTAAGGGGAACAAACCCGATAGATATTTCCGATGGGTATCTATCAGAAGGCGGTTCCGTTCTCTATGCACGGAGGTTGCAGAATATGGCTGCCCAAAATGGGTAAGTAGATTCAATCTACCCTAAATCTGCTAGTGAATGAAAGAAAAACGTTCATAGGAAGCAAAATAGAACAGTAACAAATTTTTAATATAAACCAATTTCTCAGTCACTCGATTTTCGCTCGAAGCAATCCCTGAATGATTTCGTCCGATTAAAGCTTTTCCCTCAAACTCTGCAGGATTTTACCTGCAACGGCTGCAGTACATTAAAGTGATTTATGTAACAATTTGGCCATCCGTGAAGAAAACAGTGCGAAAAGGGAAAATTACAGTGTGTTTATTGAAGGGTACAATGGCATGAAGTGAAATTTATGATGGAATAATGAAAATAAATTGGGGAAAGTGTGTGTGTTTGGAAAGCCGGATGGGGATTTTCAAAGGATTTTAATGCCACAAAGAGCCCGCGTGCTTTGAGGAAAATGCGTTAGCAAATAATCGTGTATTGAAAGATTTTGGACAGTCATTGCCAATCTTCGGTTAAAAGCAGGTGTTTTTTGCCAAGCTAAAAAAAACAATTGGAAACTGCTTAGCCAAATCAGGCGACAATCCAATTGAGCTTAGCCAAATGCTAAAAATATTAATAATTCTAAAGCTTCGCTTTGTCATCGAACATAATTCGGAAATACGATGAAAAATCGGTTTGGTAAGCGGCTTAAAGTTTGGGAGATCGCAAAAGAGGGAGCAGGAGAATGCAGGAAATACAATGTGTCTCTTGTGTGAAAGGATTAATTTCGGGGAGATTTAATTTGGGGATTGTGGGGAGCGTTTGCTATTGTGCCGTTTCGTTGCAAAGTGGATTTGCGAAACAGTTATTTTGGGTTTAAGATCATTAGGGCAAAAGCTGTTGATTCATTTCGGGTGCGTTCAACTTGTTCGTGGAAAGTCGATCAGTGCAACCCAATAACCGGTTTGGATTTTTAAATATTCCGATCACTAATTTAGGAATAAGAATGTAATAAATTCGTCTGCATAAGCCGGGAGATAATTTTGAAAAGTCGGAAATATCAGTTTACTTTATGGGGATTTTTCTTAAAATAATATTTCAGAATTCACAAACTGGACGCTTCACGAGGCACACTTTCGAAAATAGCGTCCAATAAATCTGTCATCTGCCACTAGCATGAAATAGGAGATTATGTAGACTCAACATATTAATGAAACGAGTAGAAAGACTTCTATTTTTATGCCGAAGTTTCCCAACAGTCTTAATCTTCTTTATTTCATGTTTTACAAATACAAATAGATTGCCGCTTTCACAACGTTTCATCTTCACTGCTGAAAGTCTTGGTTGGAAAATTGAACACTGTTCAATCTGCTGGGGTTTGAAGAGCCGCTTTTGGGCAAAAATTTTAACCTTGCAATTTTCTGTTTTTGCGCTAAGTGGATTATTCTGGGTCTAAATAGCTCAACAAAATGAACGTTTCACAGCCAAATTTGCCTTAACTTTAAGACTGGTTAAATTCTGATTGCTTAGAGTGATTTAGTTACTGTTTGAAGCGTTATTGAGTCCCATTTGGTTTTTCTTAGTCACTGTTTTGGCAACAATTTGGCACCTCAGATGAATTTTCTACAGAGCGGCAAGTGCAAAATGTAAAGTTTGGCAAAGTTCTGGGAACTCCTGTTGGACAAGAGAAGGTTTTTTTGCTGTCTCATTGTTGCATTTCAACTCCAGTTTCGGCCATTTGTTCTAAATACAGGGTGGTCTCAAAAAATCGATTTTTTGTTGCGCAGAAATAACGTGTTCCCTCTTGGCCCGAGCTGCACGATCTGGAGCTGATGTTGAAGCGTAAACTTCAGGGGCGATTTAAGACCAAAATTCCATATGCAGGGTTGCACAAAAATTTACCCAAATCAGAATTGCCCCGCAAAATATGTGAGTCTCGAAGATTTTCAGCACGTAATGTCTCCTTTAGAATATTTCGTTCGTTTATGCAACCTGGTAAATTGATTTTTTTGCTGAAGTCGACTGTGAAGTTTTAGCTTCAACATGAGCCCGATCTTTTCAAAATTGCTATATGGAAAAAAAATAACTTCAAGGCTAAACGTGGGTTTTTTGAGACTACCCTGTAAATAAACTAGACGAGCGAAAAAATAAAAAACAGTTTTCGAGATATGAGGTCGATCTCAATGCTTGTGGTGGTAAAATTTAAAAAATCGCTTTTGTTTCCAACGGAACATTTTATCAATTTATTGTTTAATTTGCCAGCCTGTAGAAACTTTAACTGGCGTACGAATTTTTGGCAAAATCACGCAGGCACCGGAAAAGAATTGCACTAAATAAAGCTGCAAACATAAATCAATTCGCTCCAAGCAATCAGAATTTATCCTGTTCCAAGATTGTTGTTCAAGCTTAAATGTTGACGAATCTAATGTGTTTTTCAATGAACTGGTTGCTGTCCGCACTTTTTTGAGTTGGAAATGCTGTCCATTTGAGGAATTTGAGTTGGAGTCTTTAGTTGTTTGGCTCGAACCAAATATATCCTAAAACTCGTGAGTTTTTGGCCATCGTGAAAAACATAATTTTCCTGCCGCATCCTGAAATTATTTTCCTCTAGGGCCCAAAGGCTAGAAAAACTCACCAGATTCAAGCAATCGCGCCAATAATTGAACGTGAAACACAAACTTAAACAGAGCATTTAAAATTTCCTCGAAATAACCGTGAGAATCTTCAAATATGAACTGGAAGTTTCAAGCAGCATCGGTTAGAAACTGTTGAGTTTTTCGAGCATTTACTCCGAGCAAACCACCTCTGAACTCACCAATTCTTAATGTATATATTGTGCCGAGCCCTTCAGGCACGACACTGATTTAAGGGCAAAATTGACAAACAAAGCGGAATTTTTGGGCTTTCAAGCCGTCGTGCAAAACAATTTTTTCCGAACGTTTCGCAAGCACGGGTGGCTGCATCTTCAGACGTTGTTCTCATCTTCCTTCCGCCAATAAGGAATAGTTTCAAAAAACAGCAGCCGTTGAAATAGTTTTGAATCAATTCCTTTCTTCTAAACTGCAGTGCAAAGAACATTTACCGAACTTTTTGGCTCTGGCCTAACCTGCCCTATAGTAAGTTCCCCCCATAGAAAAGTCCCTATCAGATGTTTGGAGCGCCCAACCGAGGAATCATGCGCACACAAATCGATTCCTTGAACCCCCTTAGACATTCAGACTGTTTTTACCCCTTAACAGAAATGTAGTTAAAAAGGACTGGCCAAAGTTGATCAGATCGCAAACGAAATTATTGAGCCAAACTCGTGAAATGTGAATAGAAAAAGTGGATTTTGTGATCAGTTGCTATAAGGGAACTTTCGGATTGCATTCCCTGCACAACCCCATTAAAGTGATGGGGTATCGGGAAGCGGCGGGGGGTGCTACTAGGGAGACAAGAATCCGTAAGTTTTGTTTTTGTTTTCCAGCCTCGAGATAATGGAGATGTCAAAAGTTTAGCGACTCCCAAGTTGAATAAACTCCGCTTAGTTCAGTTTTAATTGCAACCCCTTGCGGCTCTATTATTTACGCCACTTTTTACCAAGAAGCAGGTAAAAGGTTTTTTGGTTCGAGGACTGAATTAATTATTTTTAGCCTCTAAAAGCATCTCGGAATTGCAAAGAAATGGGGATTTCATTCACATTCGCCCAGCGGTAAACTGTGCGTATTTCAACGGGGTGAAAGAGCAAAGGTGAAAGACACTGTACGAATAAAAGCTCCAGAGAAATCTTTCTTTGGGTGAAATTACGCAGAACGGGGAAACAAATGGAAAAAGCCTCACACTGAAGCGCATTGTGTGTCGTTTGCAAAGCTACAAAAGGCATTCACTTGGAAACTTGGAAGTTTTTCGCGTTGATTATCACTGTCGGGTTTTCAATTAAATTAAGTAACTTTGGAAAGTCAACAACAATTTTCTTAATGAGGAATCTGAAGAACTCAAACTCTGGCAAATTTGGCTCGAAAAGTTAACTATTTCCTAAGTTATACTGCTCAAGAAAATCAACGTTACACTGACAAATTGGGACGGACTTTCGAACTGGATAAAATGGATTTTATTTTGATATTTAGTGCAATGCCTTTTCGGTTAGTGCGTGTTTTTTGCAAAAATAGTGCGTCAGATTTAGTTTCTACAGGATGGCAAATGAATCAATGTAAAATTGGTGAAACACAACAACAAAATCGATTTTTTGAGACCACCCTATATAGACAAATGGTCGAAAATTTCATTTCGAGGTATTTGGTTTGTCTTTAAAAATTTGGAGTTGAGATCCAAAAAAACCTTTTCTTGTCCAATTTACCGCTTTGTAGAGAATTTATCTGGGATGCCTGATTTTCACCAAAACATTGACGAAGAACAAATGGGGCTCAATAACGCTTCACTATTATTCAGTTGGAGAAAATCAGGATTGGATGCCATTCGAATGAAAATTGTTGAGCTTTGAGAATCAAATATCTGCTTGAGGCAAGCGAGCTTCACGTTTCTACTTGAATGAAAAAAAGTTATGCATTTTTAGGTACGAGCATGCACTTGAGCATGCACGTGTGAAAGCGTGATTTTTAACCCAAAAGTTCGTAACCCTTGAAAAAATGCATTTCGAGGCTCAAACGTCTCAGAACTCATATACAATATTTGACCCCGAATGTTCGGAAACATTTGTATAAGTCGCACTGAAACTTTAATATTCCCGACTTTAGTTCGAAATGCAAGTCAAAAAATTCATTTTTACTCTCAAATGCACGTTTTTCCCCAAAAACTTCAGAACCAGGTCAGGCTGAGAGTTCGAAAATTGAGGGCTTGAGGGAACTACCAAAAGTTCTGCAAATACACGCTCTTGCTCAAAAATTCAGTGCTGAAATCATCAGTGCTTGTAAAGTATATTCCACTCAAAAATACATGATGATTTCGTTTAAAATACAGCAAAATCTCAATTGATCTGATTTTGCAAACAAAAATCAAGAAAATGGACGTTTTTCCGCAAATGCAGTCTCGCTAAAAAGTTCAGACCGACTGCACCAATGCATCAAGGAAGTTGAAAGTTACAGATTTCATAAAACGCATTCAATTCCGAAATTCTTGATGATCCTGCGTGCGTCGCATTGAAACATCAGTTTTCCTGCTCAAACTACTTGATGATTTCATTTAAATCGCACCGAAATCTGAATTATTCTGATTTTCTAAACGCAAATAAAAAATTTAAGTTTTTTCGCAAATGCACACTTTTCTGAAAAAGCCATAACTTCCGTACCAGCACAAGCTAAGAGTTGGAAATTATAGCCTTCATAGAAAACAGTCGAGGGCAACAGTGCTGAAAATTTCGTTAAAATCGCGTTGAAACCTGAAAATTTCTGACTTCGTCGACTACAAAAATGCACGGTTTTTCGCAAATGCACACTCGTGCCCAAAAATTCATAACTTCTGAACTAGCACAAGATTATTGCAAAATTTCATGTTTTTCGTCCCGTTTTGCATGTTTCTCGGAAGCAAAATGAGCAAGAACGCTCGTTTTTACATCATTCCAGAG